GAAGAAGAGGAAGAAGAGGAAGAAGAGGAAGAAGAGGAAGAAGAGGAAGAAGAGGAAGAAGAGGAAGAAGAGGAAGAAGAGGAAGAAGAGGAAGAAGAGGAAGAAGAGGAAGAAGAGGAAGAAGAGGAAGAAGAGGAAGAAGAAGAAAGCCTACACTACCAGGTGGTGGCCCATGCTTTTAATCCCAGCACTTGGGAGGCAGAGGCAGGTGGATTTCTGAGTTCCAGGCCAGGCTAGCCTGGTCTACAGAGTGAGTTCCAGGACAGCCAGGGCTATACAGAGAAACCTTGTCTCGAAAAAAACCAAAAAAAAAAAAAAAAGAAAGAAAAAAAAAGAATCATTTCTTATTGAGAAACCTATTAGTTGTCAAAAACAGCAGAATGTGTTATGAATTCTGGGGATGGTTGCCTGAAAGCTTATCCTTTAACCTTGGCTAGCCTTACATAATGTCCTTTAGGTTCAAGCCTTTTTGTTTTCATTTTGTCTGCTTTTGCAACAGGGTCTTGTGACGCCCAGGCTGGCCTCAGACTCTCTATGAAGTCAGTGTGGGCCTTGATCTCCTAACTCCCTTGCCTCCCAGAATGAAGGACTACACCTGTGTAACACCGTCCTCAACCCTTGGGCTTGCTGCTGCTTTCTTTTGTTTGTTTGTTTGTTTTTTTGATTGCTGCTCTTTCTTTCTTTTAAAAATATATTTATTTTCATGAGCACCACATGCACGCTTGATGCCTGAGGAAGCCAGAAGAGAGTATCAGATCCCTCAGAACTGGAGCTCCTGAGCCACCTGTGGGTGGTGGGAGTCGAACCCTGGTCAGTCCACCCATTGCTCTTTATTACTGAGTCATCTCTTTAACCTTTGGTTTTTATGTTGTTGTTGTTTTGTTTGGTTTTTTAAAAGATTTGTTTATTTATTTTATGTATGTGAGTACACTGTCTGCTGTCTTCACACACCTGGCAGAGGGCATCAGATCCCATTACAGAAGGTTGTGAGCCACCATGTGGTTGCTCCCATTTGAACTCAGGATCTCTGAAAGAACAGCCAGTGCTCTTAACCTCTGAGCCAGCTCTTCAAACCTCAACCTTTGTTTTTTAATTTTTGTTTTGTTATTTCTTCTCTCTCTCTCTCTCTCTCTCTCTCTCTCTCTCTCTCTCTCTCTCATACAATGGAGGTCTTTGCTTGCCATGTTGCACACGTGGAGGTCAGAGGACGGTTTATAGGAGTTGATGCTCTCCTACCCTGTGGGTCCAAGGATTGAACTCAGATCGTCAGGGTTGGCCACAGGAGTCTAACACTGGGTCACCTCACTGATCACCTTTGTCTTTGAGACAATGTCTTGCTAATTAACCCTGTCTGGTCTGAAACTCAAGTCGATCCTTCTGAGAACTAGGAATTATAGATTATAGCATGTCTGTCTCTGCTGTACTGTTCAACTGCCCCCCCCCCGCAAAATGCTAAGGATTAAAAAGAACAGCCGTGCACATGCTAGACAAACGTTTTACTATTCAGCAAAATACTCACAAAGTGTGCTCTAAGATGGGAAGACATCCTCACAGACTGATCAGCAGCTCCTAGGAAACACTACAGTTCCAATCAGTTTTGTGAGAAAGATTATATTTTTTAATTTTTTTTTTACTTTTTTCTATTGCTTTCCCAGACACTGAATTAGCTTAATGGTATTTCAAGAATTTGGATAAAGTAAGGTATGTTGAATGAATGACAGTCATAAGCACCTCCTGAGCCCAAAAGATCTCAGTAGAGGGAAGGAGGGGGCATCTGTTTGGGATTAGCCTATCTTAGCCCCACCCTCTTGGCAAAAGAATGGACATTGTCTTTATGGTGGGTGTAGAGTCCTAAGTTGGCGAAAGATGATTTTTTTTTTATTTTTAAGTGACAGAAACTCAAACTCAAGTTCCTTTGCATGCTGGGTAAGCACGGTTCTCCTAGGCCCCAGCACTGCTGGCCTCATATGGGTGGACAGAAAACAGGTGAGCAGAAGATACTGTCGGTAACGTGGGTGTGAGTAGCACAGCCCAGCACTAACATGTGTAGGCCTATGTGTTCACAGAGTTTGAAATTCAGTATTTATTTGTAGGATTATAGCTCGGTACCACGTATGCAGTACCCTTGGAGGACAGAAGAGGGCACCAGATCCCTTGGAACCGGTGTTATACAGACCGTTGTGAGCCACCGTGTGGATCTCTGGAAGAGCAGTCAGTGCGTAACTGCTTAGTTATCTCTTTAGCCCAGATATTAAGCTTTAAAAATTACTTACTTAAATTTCTTATTTTCTTGCTAGGCAGTGATGGACCACATCTTTAATCCCAGCACTTGGGAGGCAGAAGCAGGCAAATCTCTGTAAATTCAAGGCAAGCCTGGTCTACAGAACAAGTTCCAGGGCAGCCAGAACTACACAGAGAAACCCTGTCTTGAAGGGTATGTGTGTGTTATTTTCTTAATTGTTCTATTTTACATGTATAATTGTTTCGCCTGTATGTATGTATGCATGTATGAGCACCACATATGTGCCTAATTGTGAACGGTTGAAACCCACCATATGGGTTCTAGGAACTGAACCATGCCCTCTACAAGAACAGCAGGAGCTCTTAGTGAACTGTCTCTCAAGACTCCTTAAGATTTGTTTATATCAAGGCAGATAAGATGGCTCAGGAGTTAAAAGTGTATACTGCTCTTGCAGAGGACTGCAGTTCTGTTTCCAGCATCCACATTAAACATCATACAGTTATCTATAACTCTAGCTTCAGGGGATCGAAAGCCCCCCCCCATGTGTCCGTGGGCACCTGCAGTCACACATGCATAACCTCAAACCAGAGGCACACGTATATAACATAATCTTTTAAAGATTTATTGACACCATCTTCTCTACATAGCCCTGGCTGCCCTGGAATTCACTATGTAATCCAAGCTGGCCTCAAACTCATAGAGATCCACCTGTCTTTGTCTCCCAAGTGCTGAGGTTAAAGCACCACCTATCTTTTTTAAACCCTTTCTTGTTTAATTAATTTACTTTACACCTGCATGGCATTAGAGTGCATTAGATCCCTTTGTCGATGGTCATGAGCCACCATGTGGTTGCTGGGAATTGAACTCAGGACCTCTGGAAGAGTAGTCAGTGCCCTTAACCACTGAGCCATCTCTCCAGCCCACTCTCCAGATCTTATTGTGTGTGTGTGTGTGTCTATATGTGTGTGTCTGTGTGTGTGTGATACATGTGTGGGGATGCATGCTACAGAGTGTGAACAGAGGTCAGAGTATTTCCTAGTTTGCAGACATGCCCACCAGCCATACTGATGGAGGCCATTCTTCAGGTGAGATTCATTCTTCCCAAGTGTGCCAAATTGACAACCAAGATTAGCCATCACAAAGGACAACTTCGTAGTGTGGGCATTCTCCTTCCACATTTACAAGGGTTTGGGGTCAAACTCAGGTCACCAAATCTGTGTAGCCATGTCACTGAACTAAAGTTTTAGGGTTTCCCCCCATTTGTTTTATGTTTATAGTGTTGTGCCTGCATGTGTATTTGTGTACCACATGCATGACAGGTCCAAGGGGATCAGAAGAGGACATTGAATCCCTTGGAACTGAAGTTAGAGAAAGTTGTTAGCCACCATGTGGTGCCAGGAATAGAAAGAGTCTTCTGGAAGAACCATAAATGTTCTCAACTGATGAGCCATCTCTAGAGCCCCATAGAATTTTGTTTTTTTGAGGCAAGATCATATGTAGCTCATGCTGGCCTCAAACTCCTGAGGCCTGTGCCACCACACCTGGTTCTCTCTCTTTCTCTCTCCTCTTCATTTATGATGCTAAGGACTGAACCTAGGACTGACTGGTTTAGGCCTACTAGACACTCTACCATTGGGCTGAATCCCTAGCCTTGGTTTGTGTGTGTGTGTGTGTGTGTGTGTGGGTGTAGTGTGGTGTGTGGCGTGTGTGCATGTATGTTTGTGTGTGTGATGATTGTGTATGTGTGTGGTATAGTGTCTGTGTGTGAGAGAGAGTGAGACAGACAGAGGGGAAAGAGAGAGAGAGAGAGAGAGAGAGAGAGAGAGAGAGAGAGAGAGAGAAGAGAGACTTCTGTAGTCTAGGCTAGCCTTGAACTTGCTTTTCTGAGACAGGGTCTTGCCATATAGCCTAGACTTGATAACTTGATGTTGTCGTCATGTCTCAGCCTGCCAAGAGCTGAGCTTGCAGGCATAGGCCACTGCTCCGGCACCCTCTTATTTGTTATTTGTCTTACAGTGCTAGGGCTCAAACTCATGGCCATTCTATTCAGCTGTCTCCAGTAGGCTGGTGTGAGGTAGCACCGTGGAAAAGTGGAGCAAGCGGCTCCCTTGAGGCTCTCCTAGCCTAATCCCATAGGCTCTGGAGGGCAGTGCGAGTCAAAGTGGCCAGGAGGAGGCCCTTGACTCATAGCCAGTTGGGACTGAACCAACATGGAATTTCCCTAACCTTAGAGGGCCTTAAGGCTGGAATCCCTACAAGTTAAATATGTAAGACATACAAAGACTCTTTTAAATTACAGGCTTATAGGCAAGATAATATATAGAAAGTTTTTTTTTTCTGTGAAAATTGTCAATAGCTTTTTCAGATTGTGCAAGTAAAGAAGGCTGGAGGAGGAGCCTTCTCTGATCACGAAATCCCTTCCCAGGCTCTGTCTCTAAACACCACGCTGCCTTCCCAAACGTTGGCCGACAGCCCTAGCATCTCCCTGGGGATTGCTGTGGAATACTCAGCTGTTCCCACCCTGGTCTCCGTGTGTCTAATCAGAAAAGACAGGAAACAAGATTTTCTCTAATTCTTTGGGGGGGGGGGAAGCTGGGAGAGGTAGGGGCTTGGAGAAGCTTCCTGCAGCTGTTGGGAACAGGAAGCCAAAGAGTGTTTGTATGTCCCTGGTTTTCTGGGGACCCACGTCTTGCCATCAAAGTCTTGGGGCTCCTTTTTTTCCTCTACAGGACAGGGACTTCCAATTTACCCTTGGTTGTCCTGGAACTTGTTATGTAGACAAGACTGGCCTCAAACTCACAGAGATCCCCCTGTCCCAGCCTGCAGAATGCTGGAATTGAAGGCATGTGCTACCATGCTTGGATCTTTGGTATTTCCATCAAAACAAGTTTGTTGTTGTTGTTGTTGTTTTGTTTTTTTAAGATTTATTTCTTTTTACTTCATGTCGTCAAGTGTTTTGCCTGCATAATATGTATTTGTATCACTTGCATGCAGTCCCTTGGGAGGCCAGAAGAGGGGGCTAGATTCCCCTGAAACTGGAGTTACAAAGGGTTGTGAGGCACCACATGGATACTGGAATTGAACCTGGGTCCTTTGCATGAGCAGTAAGTGCTCTTAACCACTGAGCTATCTCTCCAGCCTCTCTGGGTTCCATTTTGGCTTTTACTAACCACATGTTTTATCTCCTTATAAGAGAAATCCAGAATGAAGGTAACTTTGGTATCAGACAGTGCAAGACCCAGCTGGCTATTTTCTTCAAATCTGTTATTCACAAGTTTCAGCAAATCTTGGTTGCCTCATTTGATGACTGCTTGAGCAATTGATCAGTCACCTCTGCCCCATTTGTGTCCTTTTGGGTTGGACATGTCCTGTTACCACTGAACCCCTTCTGGGAATTCACCAAGCTAGCAGGAAATTCAGATTGACCCACAGGCTCAGCCACCATGACCTCTCCTCTAGATGAGCTCATCCAGCCCCTGGTTTCCTGGGGGTATATTTCCCTATCCAGGCAGGGAAACGCGGAAGTGCAAACTTCTTACCTTCGAGGACTGTGACTTTCACTTCTCTGCCTTTGGCATTCTTGCATGACTGACAATGTCACAATGGAGTAAATGGCTTAGTAAACAGCTTTATCGTTTGTCTACTGTCCTAGTTCCTTGAATATACTCTTTCTTTCTCTCTTTTTCTTTCTTTTTCTTTCTTTTTCTGTTTTTTTTTTTTTTTTTTTTTTGCGCTGAGGCTGAACCTAGGACCTTGAGCTTGCTAGGCAATAGCTCTTGAGGTAGGATTTCATGTGGTCCAGGCAGGCCTTAAACTTTTTTTTTTAATGTTACTTAATTATTTTTCATGTGTATATTTTCATATGTATGTCTGCATGTATGTCTGAGCACCATATTCCTTCCTGGTGCCTAGGGAGACCAGAAGAGAGCACTGGATCCCCTGGAACTGGAGTTACAGATAGTTGTGAACTGGGACTCAAATCCAGATCCTCTGGAAAAGCAGAAATTGTTGCGCCATCTCTCCAGCCCCAGACCTTGAACTTTCTGTGTATGGGATGATGACCTTGAACTTCTGATCTTCCTGTGTCCCCTAAGTGCTAAGATTACAGACAAATGTCCCCACACCTGGTTTCCAGTGTTGGAGATCAAAACCAGGGCCTCAGTGCCATTAGGCAAGCACTCTACCTGAAATGGCAACCACAGTCCCTCTCCCCTGCCTCCTCTTTATTTCAGAAAAGGTTTCACTATGTGGCCCTGGGCAGCCTGGAACTTGCTGTATAAAACAATAATCTGGGGGTGGGGGTAGGGGTGGAGGTGGGGATAGAACAGCTCAGCAGTTAAGAGCACTGATTGTTCTTCCAGTACCTACACAGCACCTCACAACTGTCTGTAACTCCAGTTCCAGGGAACCTGACACCCTCAAATATGTAGGCAAAACACCAATGCAAATAAAAAAAAAAGAAAAGCAAACAAAGAATGAGAGAAGCCTCAAGCTCTAGCAATTCTACTTCTGCCTCTCTAGGGCTGGGACTCTAGGCCTGAACCACTATTCTTAGTTCTCAAATTATAGGTACTGATCACTTTAAGGCAGATCCTTATAGGCCAACAACATAGGACAGGGTGAGTGAGGACTTCAATTTATTCTGTTGGCGTGTAGAAGTCACAGAGCAAGTATGTGCTTATGGAGTGTGGGCTGTAAAATGTCAGCCAGACATTTACAAACATTTCCTCAGTCAACCAAAGGTTCATTATTTACTTGTATTGGAGACTGAACCCAGCACCTCATATATTCTAAGAACTTTCTCTACCACTGAGATAATCCAGCTCTCTATTCCAGCTTTAATTGGGCGTATTAGAAATGACAGACTGCCTTGTGGTGGTGGCCAACATCTTTAATTCCAGCACTCTGGAGGAAGAGGCAGGAAGATCTCTGTGTGTTCGGTCTAAAGACAAAGTTCAAGGATAGCCAGGGATATGCAGAGAACTCCTGTTTCAAACAATAACAACAACAACAAAAAATAAGAAGACGAAGAGAAAGAAGAGGAGGAGGAGGAGGAAGAAGAAGAAGAGGAGGAGGAGGAGGAGAAAGAGGAAGAAGAAATGGCAGATATATTCTGCAGTCTTGACACTTGGAGCAAATGCAGACAAGTGCCACAAGTTTGAAGCTAGCATGGCCTATTGAGTTCCAAGCCCAGGCAGAGCAATACAGTGACAGGCAAATAAGAAATAAACAGCTGGGCGGTGGTGGCACACACCTTTAATCCCAGCACTAGGGAGGCAGAGGCAGGAGGATTTCTGAGTTCGAGGCCAGCCTGGTCTACAGAGTGAGTTCCAGGACTGCCAGGGCTACACAAAGAAACCCTGTCTCGAAAAACCCAAATAAATAAATAAATAAATAAATAAAAATAAAATAAAATAAAAATAAAATTAAAAAATCAGGCTGCAAAGATGTCTCAGCCCTTTATACTACTTACTGCATTTGGAAAGGACCTGATTCACTTCCCAGCATCCATGTTGGGCAACCCACAGTCAGCTCCAGGGAGATCTGAGTCCCTGGCCAGACACAGACACATACATATGATTAAAAATGATAAACTTAGGGCTGGAGAGATGGCTCTGTGCTTAAGAGCACTGGCTGCTCTTCCAGAGGACCTGGGTTTAATTCCCAGCAACTACATGGCAGCTCACAACTGTCTTTAATCCAACACCTTTACACAGACATACATGCAATTCAAATGAAATAAAGATAAATAAATTAAAAATAAAATTAAATCTTAAAACAAGCAAGCAAACAAACAAACAAACAAACAAAAAAACAAAAAGAGAACTCTCAAGGGATAGATCTACCTACCTCTAGGCACTAGAGGTTCACAGGATAGGGAGAAAACAAACCGACTCCAGTTCTCCAGTATGTTTTAGAAATAAATCTTAAACCACAGATAGCAATACAACGTGCTAAGTAGGTGTCCGGAGCGGGGGACGGGTCAAAAACAGAGACAAGGAACAAGCTGAGAGTGAGATAGGTCAAGTGGCAAAGAATGTCGTGGGCAGAAGGGTCAGCATGTGGGAAGGCTTGAAGGAAGCTGGCGGATGCTTGGCATGTTTGCAAGCAAACTTAGAGGTCCCTTGTGACTGGGGTATCTGAGGAGCTATGTGGCTTGCTTGCGTGGTATGCAAAGGAAAGCCCAAGGAGCCCGGCCTAGGTGTTGAGAGAGTATAGACCGGGCATTCAGGAAGATAGAAAAGGTGGAGGTGGGGGTGTTTAGGGAAAGTGAAGAGGAAAGGGAAAGTGATCAGGCAGGTGGGGGGGGGGGCCCAGGGGAGGGGGGAGGGACTTGTCCCCAGGCGTGTGTGTTGGGTGTTGTCCTCTGTCAGCTGGAGGTCAGGAAGAACTCTGGGCAGAGAAGGATCATGGGTAGATTTGAGTTTGGAAAGTCAAAACTCTTTTACCACCTTGGGGTTGGATTATCAAGGTACTGAAAGCGGAGACCAGAACAGCCCTGCAGCCTCTCCCCGCTGGGGGACATTGTACTTCTGTGTGAGAATTGATCAGAAGGAAGACCTGGCCACAGGAAGACAAGAGGGGAATGCCGAGTAGGGCTGGCACCTAACTTCCATGCTGATAAGAGGCAGGCAACCTTGGGCCTTGTGGAGAGCAGTCGCAGCTGTTGCTCCTGGCAAGGGTGTAGGCATCCCACAGCTGCGGTTGCTCATGGATGCCAGGGTCACCATGATTTGGGGCCAAGGACATATGAAAGGAGGGGCCATTGGTGGGCCAGCCGAGAAGTCAAGGCGTGGAAAGGAAGTTTTCGCAGCTCAGCTAGGGGCAATGCCCCACAAGGAGCCAGCTGTTCAGGAACAGCTGCACAGAGGGGGGAGGGGATGGGCAGTAACAGGTGACTGTCCTCTACTGCAAAGCGTGGGAAAGAACTAGTGGGAAGGAGAGGATAGGGGATTGGAGAGACCTTGGAAAAAATGCATGGAAAGTTCTATATACCACAGATCTGGAGTCTTGCTTGGTGGGCATGCTTGTAATTGAAGGGAAGGCAGAGGCAGGAAAATTGCTGTAAATTCCAGGCTACCCTGATCTACAAGATGAATTTCAGGACACCTAGCCCCTACCTATATAATGTAGATCCTGTCTCAATGAGTGACAAGTATGGAAGAAGAGAAAGAGGAGGTAAAGAAATAATTCATTAAACTCATTTGCGTGTGTGCGTGCACACACACACACACTTGGGAGGAATGAGAGAGTAATTTGAGATGAATACCAAAATACATTATATACATATATGAAAATTACACGACAAAGCCCATTGTTACGTACAATCTATCTATAGTAATAAAAAACTTAAAAAAGAAAAGGGAAAAAAAGACCTGCAGGGGTCCTCATTCAAACTCAGCTGGAATCCCTCAGGGAGGAAAAGCTGAGGTTAGGAGTGGGGACCAAGGAAGAAAACTAGGTTCGTTTTTCTCTATTCCAAGAGCTTTCCCAGAGACAAGGATTTTGGGAGGTACTACCTTCCCGGAACCCCCCTCAGAGTCTCCTTCACCTCCCGGGGGTCCATTTCCTGCTCTCCCATCCGCTTCTCCTTGTTTACTGACTACTACCCCTTGGTCCTCCTCAAAAGGGAACCAAACAGACCTTGGAATTCCAAGGGCCCTTAAGAAGCTCTGATCCATAAGGGTGCCAGAGAAAGGAGTTTGGTTACCCAAGGTTGCCAAGTCTGTCTTTGCACACTTAGTTTTTGGTGTCTGGTCCCTAGGCCTCCAGTGCATACTCATTGGCTATAAAAGTAAGTGGTCTCAGACTTCCTGAGATTTTGCCTCATGTGAATATAAGGACTTTTATTGGAAGCAGGTTTGGTCCGGAGGTGGTAGGTGTAGCAAGGTGGCCGGTGAATCCCCATTTTTCTGTTCACTGTAAATGCTATGGCTTCAGTGCCTTACCTTGAACCAAGTGGCCCAGAGGTCAGCTGAGGCCAGCCCTTCTCTCTGGTATCCTTTCAATGTGAGAGGTACAGCTGTGAGGACCTGGGTCCGGGGCCCAGAATATTCCTTTGGGAGCAGGCTTCTCTATTCTCCCATGTCCTCATGTTTTGGACCAGCTGCCATAAACCCTCAAATGCCTAGGGCGCGGAGATGATGAAACAGTTCGTTTCACCTTTTCTGGAAAACCCCTTCATCGACCATGAATGGATCTTTGTATGCCCATGGGGACTTGGCAACACTTCTGTAGAGAGTTACCACCATGCAGGTAGTAAGACCTGTTCTCCATGCCCCATCTCCCACAACCTGGAATCCTGGTTGCCAGCCCTTCTGTTTCAAAGCCTTCCTACTCCCTGGGGTTCCTTGGCCTGTCCAGCCTAAAGGACCCTATCTAATAGATGTAGCACACTCCCTGGGAGTCATATTTATTCACAGGGAACCTAGCCAGGACTTTGGTCCACTTTGGGTAGGGCTAGCAGCAGCTGCTGGAGTGACCTTTGTGTGCCACTAGCCTTAAGTAAGCAGAGCTCTGGCAGAGGGAGATGTGGGAGGTTTCCTGCAGCCAGGTGGCCCTACACTCATCCAGAGGGGCTCCTCTGTGTCTGTGTTTGTCAGCAGCCCTGAGGCAGTTGGGTGAAGAATATTCTGGAGCCCACCTCAGAGCAGCAACCACACTATTCTTCATTCTTTTCCTGACTCCTGAGATTGCCCAGTGAACAACCTGGACCCACCTAGTTAGAAAGGGTCCAGCACAGCCAATAGGTATGCACGGGAGGCCTAGGGACCACACACCAAAACCAAAGTGTGCAAAGGGAGACTTGGCAACCTTGGGTAGGACAAGAGGTTCAGATCTCCCCTGAAGCTGTGCATACCAGGAGTTGCCCAAGTCCAAAGGAGACCTTCCTCCTACTGCAGGGACATCCCTTCCTGCTCAATTTTTCTCCCCCAAGGCCTGGAAGCAGACACTCCACATTCCAGTGAAGAGAGAGTCAGGGAAAGTGATGCATTTTCTCTCTAAATGCTTGTTCTGACTTGACTCCCAAGATGCCTGATGCCCCACCTCTTCATGACCCCCTTCTTTGCCCCCACCCAGCCTGCTGTCCTTCCTCACCCTCCCGTGTTTTCTCACCTGTCTTTTTTGACCTACCAGGAGGAGGAGGGGCTGGCTGGGGGCCAGATGCTGCCCCCTCATCTTACTGCATTCCTTTCCTGAAGCCTGAAGGCATCTTTCCCTCCTGGTGCCCCTTGGTCTGCAATCCTTCAATCCACCTGGCAAACCTCAGCCTGGCTAAAGGTTAAAGGGCGCCTTGGAGCCTCAGAGCTTGTTTTTCCTTCTATTGCTCTTGCCCTGTCTTTTTCTTTCTTTCTTTAGTGCGCGTGCGTGCGTGCGTGTGTGTGTGTTTGTAGGTCAGAGGACAACTTGCTAGAATTGATTCTGCTTTCTGCTATGTAGCTCTTTAGGATTGAAGTCAGGTTGTCCGGTTTGGTGACAAGTGCCCATACCCGCCCAGTAATCTTCTTGCCCAGATGCCACTAAGAGACCTTTGACCTGCCTGTGACTGTGGTCATTCCATAAGCGTGTTACACTCTTTCCCTAAAAAACTCCAGGACGGGCCGGGCGGTGGTGGCGCACGCCTTTAATCCCAGCACTCGGGAGGGAGGCAGAGGCAGGCGGATTTCTGAGTTCGAGGCCAGCCTGGTCTACAGAGTGAGTTCCAGGACAGCCCGGGCTATACAGAGAAACCCTGTCTCGAAAAACAAAAAACAAACAAACAAACAAAAAAAACTCCAGGACGTTCTCTGTCACCTTCTGCAGGTTCTCTGTCTTCCAACAGATGCCTTCCCATCGCTAAACAAGACTACAGACAGCTAAAAACAGCGGAGAAAGGTAAAGAAGTAGTTGTCCCTAGAGATGAGCCTTCTAACTGGTTATTCACTATCAAATGGTCAATCCTGAAATCATGTACATATAAGCAATGCTAAACAGACTCAACAGGTTGCATTTATATGTTTATGGGGTTTATACTTACATTACATGTAAAAAAAAAAAATAAAGAAAAAGAAGCCAGAAGACTGAGGGGCTCAGCAGTTAAAAAAGCACTGGCTGCGCTTCTGGAAGAGCGGGGTTCAATTCCCAGTAACCATATGACAGATCACCACTGTAACTCCAGGTCCAGGAGAGCTGACACCTTCACACAGGCATACATACAGGTAAAACACCAATGCACATGAAATAAAAATAATTAAAAATAAAAAATAATAAAAAAGAAAGAGAGAGAAAGACCAGGAATTTGAGAGAGGGGAAGAGTTGGAAGCAGGAAAGGGAAAGGATAAAATTACATAACTAGGGGCTGGAGAGATGGCTCAGCGGTTAAGAGCACTGACTGCTCTTCCAGAGGTCCTGAGTTCAAATCCCAGCAACCACATGGTGGCTCACAACCACCCATAATGAGATTGGATGCCCTCTTCTGGTGTGTCTGAAGACAGCTACAGTGTACTCATATACTTAAAATAAATAAATAAATCTAAAAAAAAAAATTACATAACTATATTTTTATTAAAAAAATAAACAAACACACGAATAAGATAGTTTCCCTAATGCTCTCACATAGCTGACCTGGCCATTTGCTGGCCTCCCATCTGCTTTGTCACTACTTGAGTGCTAAATTTATATTTGCTATTTGTTAATTCACTTATTTATGAGACAGGATCTCCTTACTGTGTAGCCTTGGCTGGCCTGGAACTTGCTACATAGACCAGGCTAGCTTTGAACTAATAGAGATCCATCTGTCTCTGCCCTTTGAGTGCTGGAATTAAATGCATGCACCAATGTGCCTAGTGTATTTTATTTATTTATTATCTATCTTATGTTAGGATTTGGGTTCCATAGGGCAGGGTTTCAGTTGTAGTGTTTCTGTTACACAAGTAACTCAATAAATAAGTGTGCATCTTTGAGTGTGTTGGGTCAGCTGTAAGCCCAATACACAGGAGGTAGAAAGAGGAGAACTTAGGACCTTTAGGCTAGCTTGGGCTACACAGTGACTTCTGAGCTGGCAAGGCTACATAAAGAGACCCATAACCAACCAAACAAACAAATAAAGCACATGTCTATGATTCCAGCGCTTAGAAGATGGGCGCTGAAGGATCGGTTCAGAGCCAGCCCGTTACGTAAAGAGTTCTACAAAAGACCTGATCCTATCTTTAAAAAAAAGTTTGGATTAAACAGTACATAAATGGATGTTTCACCCTGGCCAGGCCCTTGACTCATCCGCATACATGGTCTTCTGTATTTTCAGTGAGCAGATAGGGTCACAGGCCACGCATGCAGTCACTTGAGGATGAGGTGGCTAAATGGCTCAGAACAAAGTAACTTACACAATTATACATTGTGTCCTTACATGGATATACTGGAAGGCTCGTGATGAGTGAAAATTCCTCCTCCTCTCCCCCAACAATGCTGGAGATAACATTCATTGGTTTTGTGGGTTTTTTTTTTCTTTTTCTTTTATTTCTTGTGTAACCAAGCTGGACTCAAGCTTGATGTGTAGTTGAAACTGCTGGTCTTGAATTCCTGATCTTCCTGCTTTCGCCTCTCATGTACTGGGATTATATCTGACCTCTGACCTCACCAGAGTGTTCCAGTGCATATACAAATAATGCACATACCCACACAAATATGCATATATATCATAACACGGACATACATAGAGGAACACACAGAGATGGCTGAAGGGAGCCATGTATGGTAGCATGTGGCTATAGTCTCAAAACAGCTCCAGAATTCCAGTGTAGGCAGGACAATACAGAGAGACTCTCTACTGGGGGCGCACTGGGGATAGCTAGGCAGAAACAACCACCACAAAAGCAGATATCTGAAGGAGTCCTTCTCATCTGACTCATAAATGCTGAAGATTCCCAGACTAGGGACGTGAGACTTCCAGAAGCCATTCCCGTCAGCACACAGCCTAGGGGAAAGGCTATTTGCTTACTTATTCAATGCACAGTTTTCAGTGTTCCAAGGGCATACAGGCCAGTCTGAATAGTATATTAGAATTAGTAAATGCTGTATGACCCATCAATATCTCTGACATTGGTGTTCCCAAGAGGGGTGCTTAGGCCTAGGTCTCAGGCCAGCTCTGAGAGGGAGAGAGGTGTTGAACACACTTTAGGAGCATCTGAATGAGTCTAATTTATTTGGCTAAGTCTAGACTTAATCTGGTGTTTAGTCTGATGCTCAAGGATACAAGTCTAGTATTTTGGTAACAGCCACCCAAGTTGACCTTGAGGGAAGGAACTGCCTTATCCTGAAGCCAGCAGAGAGTGGAATGAGACCCAGGAGGCCAGTGGACAGTGTGTGCACAGGGGGATGAATCAAACCACAGTCACCCTTGCCGTGGGGTTCCTGCTGCATGAGAACTTTACATCCAATCATGGCTCAGCGGAGAGGAAGAAGGCTTGTGCCACCCATGTGGCTGGGGCTGGAGAGATAGCTCAGCAGTTAAGAGCACTGGGTACTTTTCAGGAGGACTCAAGTTTGAGTCCCAGAGCCCACAGTGATCAACAATCATCTGTAACTCCAGTTGCCTTGGTGCACAAAGTCACATGGTACACAAACATATATACAAGCAAAATATCATACACATAGAGTAAAAACAAATCTTAAAAAAAATTGAAAACGCTTGGTGGTCTGGTGTGGTGACTCACGCCTGTAATCTCAGTTCTGGGCAGGCTGAGGCATAAGAATTTTTCAAGAGACAGTTTGGGCTACATATGAGTTCCAGTGTAGCCTGAGCTATATAGAAAAGAAAAAAGAGAGAAAGGAAAAAAGGAAGGGAGAGAGAGAAGGAGGGAAGAAGGAAGAAAGGAAGGGAGAGAAAGTGAAGGAAAAGAAATGGAGTATGGAAATGCAGTGTCTTACAAGGGAAGAAAGAATTACTGCTGGGCAATCTGGCAGTGACTTTAAAACTTGCCTATTGGCAGTTTCTCTCAGATAAACTTATCAGCCCTTACTTTCTGCCCAAGCTGCAGGACAATTTGCCTACTGTTAAGTCCAAACAAAGGAGACCCTTCCCTTGCTCTGATGTGGCTGGATGGGTCTTCCAACCCACTGTTCCAGGCATGCTTGCTGGCCTGGCATGTGAGTGAGTAGTCTACCTTGGTCAGCACTAGCCTGGTCCTGCTCTGTCAGAAGAGGGAGAATTAGCCACAGGAGCCATACTCTTAGAGGATAGGGCACTGGTGCCTCAGGAACATGTCAGAATAAAAAGCCCTGGAATCCTAACCTTCGAGGAACGAGTGTCTGCTCCATGGGTGTTGACTGGTTTGGTCTGAGGGAGAACGAAGTTCTTAGCTTTAATAAATCATATTAGTCCCAAACAAACATGGGGACGTTTGACTTGCACAGGGCTAACACAGGGCTCATATCTTGGGAATGACTGCCAACCAGGAGGTAAAGGAGGCACAACCCAAGTTCTTCCTTCCAAACAGAAATTGAGATTTTATGTTTTTTTTTTTTTTTGGGGGGGGTGGAGGTGGTGATTTCATAGAACCTAATTTGACCTCAAACTTGCTATGTAGCCAATGCTGGGTTTTAAACTTTGATCTTCCTGCCTTTATTTTATTTTATAGACAGACTCTTGCTAGTTACAACTCAAAACAGAACCCCTACTATGTATAGCTCTACAGCTCTAATTAGGTGATGGTTATACTGTTAGGCCAAGCAAATTGTTAAGGACTCACATTTAAGTGGAAGAAACAAATCTTATAAAACTATCTTCCTCTTCCTGAAGTCTTAGGCAGGGGGTAGTTCTGAGAGGAGGAAGAGTTGTGGCTGAAAGGTTAGGGGTGCTGAGAGAAGACTGCCAGGTCTACCAGGTCTGAAGAGCCTCAGTCTCAGTCACTTGATCTCCTCTTGAGGCACGTATAACATGGGTCTTTGAACTCTTGGCTGCCTTCCTACTGTCTAGGCAGCTGAGTTACCTGGCTTGGGATGGCTGTCCCTGCTGGAGTTCCAAGGTTGAGTCACTGGGGACCTTTTGCTGAGCTCAAGAATTGAGTAGACTGTGGAGTTCCTAAAGAGGAGGAAGGCTTTAAACTATCAGAGCTAAGGGAAGTAACGGGGACTTAACGTTGTAGTCCTCATCCAGTCTAGAGGACCACGGAAAAAACTGTTCATCTTTCTCTTCAGTATAGAATGAGCTCTAATGATGG